CCTATTATGGTCTGTGAAGTTTAGATAGGGCCATGCAAATGAATGAGATAAATCTTTGTCTTTCAGAGACCAGGCTGCCTCTCAAATAGCTTAGATTTCAACAATACAGGTGATATTTACTGTGGCTTAGGGAAGTCAATAAGCTGGTGTAACAAGAGAATAAGAAAGCCCAAGCAGGAAGGGGGATAGTCTCCTGGTATGATAATATCAGCATGACTTTGCCATGTAGCCAAGACTATAATGAAAGTGAAGGTTTGTTTGTACTGGAATGATTTACTGCTTTTACCAATATGTTTATTCTGGTATAACCCTCATATATGGACACTTTTATTTTAATATAACAGTATTTGTTTCAGTTTTCATTACACTCCTTTCCAAGTCACAGAAGCTAAACTTAAAGACATCATGCTTAAGGGCCATGTCATACCTTACACTTAATGCAAGCATCCTAACAATAAAACACATGCTAGGTGCATCATAGTAAAGTTAGGACTTTTTGTAGGAGGAGTTTCTCTAGATCATATAAAGTAACACATATTCAGGTATTGTTTGACTGCTCCACAGAGATAATATGAGTTCAAGACTCTAGTGTAGTATGGGGGCTGGGACCAAGTATCAGCTGGTCACACGAACGGGTTCAAGACTTCCAGTAGAAGAGACCTAACTTGCCCAATGGATCCTGTGACAGATGCAGACCCAGTGGCAGGAGTGATACCCTCTCCTGGGCTTGACCCCCTGTGCCCTCCTTCATCTGTTACCAGTGGCAGGGACCCAACTCAGCCATACATACCAGAGGCAGGTGGTCCTGGCCTGGGCAGTGCAGGACACGCAGCAGGGAGGATGCAAGATCCAGGCAAGAGGGGTTGCACATCTTCACAAGTAGATGTGTGAGTTGTGGTACCCAGTGCTTGATTAAGTAAGTGTCTGGGGGCGGGAACAGCTGGCTTCAGCTCTGTCTAAAGCCAACTGAGATTGCCAGTGGGAGACTGCTCAGAATCTTAACTTTTAATAGGACAAGGTGGTATTCACTGCAAGCTCAGATAAAACACATGCTAAGTGTTCTGTGTGACAAAGCTGTTAGTTTGACTATGTCTTTACACAGAGGCCATGCTTCTATAACCATAGCAGCTGAAGTTCATATCCTAGCTGGTATCAGTAGAGCTCCTGTATTGCCATAGAATCAGGGTCACCTAGTATAGACTCACTTGGATGTGCCTAAATCCAACCACAACTGCTTTCCAGACTGTAACTGAATCCTCTAAGACTTTGCCCTTGGACACAGCCCACTGTATTTACTTGTGCCCTATACAACTAGGAAAACAGAGTCATGGGAATTCACTGTATCAGATTCTGATGAAAATCTCAGCCTTTCCCTAGTGAGGATCAGGTGGGGGAGGGCTGGCCTTTTTTACAATTTTATGTATATGGTGGGATGATTTTCTATCGATTCGTTCTCCAAGAACTCCGTCCAATATTTCAGCCCCCTTCAGCTCAAGGTCTTCTCCCGATTAGACAGAAGAGCTCTCCCAAGGCTGCCTGACAAGAGCGTATTTCTATGCACTGTTTGATTTCTCCTGGGCTGCGTGAGGAATGGTGGTTGGAGCTGCTGTAACAGTCGGAGAGAAAAAAATAAACACCAGAAGTTAATATTTGTGCTGTGCATCTGTCAGATAATAAAGTTAGCTGGAGAGAGCATCGCATGACATCTTTGCATGCATAATTCAGCACTCATTTGCTCAGGAAGCACCCGGTTCTTTTTTCCTCCTTTCCAGACAGGTTGTTGAAGGGTTTTTAGTGTTTTTACAGCTGACAAGCTGAAACCCCCATTGGATTAAATTAAAAAAAAATGTTTCTTTGATTATGGTTGCTAGATCCTCTGACCTTCTGAAGAAGGAAGGGAGGGGCTGGACGCATGAATCACTGCTCAACAAATTCTACCATGTCTGAGCTCAGAAGACCTCATCAGTGTGAGACTGTGAATTATGGACAGGGCTTTGACTTTTTCCAGTCCTCCTTATAGAAAGATTTTCCAGATCTACAAACGGTGTAACCCGGTATACTCCACTGATGTCAATGAAATTAACCCTCTTTAGCCCAGCTGGGAATCCGGCATTCTTGTGGGCAATGTGCCGGTATTGTAATTAGTAGTGGGTGCGATTAGTAGTGCATGTCCTCTGCCCTTTCCCGTCCTTCTTACATGGGCTTTGAAAACAGGTATGCTAGTAAATCCAAAATTGTGAAGCCAGAGGCAAGTTGGTGTGGGCCCTCTGATGTGTTTGTGGCACAGCTGTGAAATATACCCCCAAGTCTTGTAAAGCTCAGGCTGTTCTCCATGAAGCCAGGTTTTTTCCTCCTTCACAGCCTGAGACATGTTGTGTGAAACAACTTACATGATGGTTTTGCCAGCTGGCAGCAGTAGAAAAAGGAAACCCCCTCTGTCAGGCTGCTTCCTCCCAAACCTAGAAACATATTCTCTCTACAGCTTGAGTTTTTGAATCAAAACAGTCACTGCTTGCTCAGCTCATATTACCCACAACTCAGGGCCACTCTGTTGCTGATTAAACCCAAATCACAGCAAAAAAGCCCTTCCCTTTACCTGCTAAGGTTTAGCTTTACCTGGAAAGAGACGACAAACTGACCTTCCAAAATGCTTTCCAACAACTCCAGCTGTCACAGTACAACCTACACCCCTTCCAACAACTCCAGCTGTCACAGTACAACCTACACCCCTTCCAACAACTCCAGCTGTCACAGTACAACCTACACCCCTTCCAACAACTCCAGCTGTCACAGTACTAGTAATGCTATTTGCTGTGCACTAAGACTTGAAGTCTGAAAGCTGGGTAAGGGATCTAAACACTGAATTAATTTTCAGTTATTATGGTGAATATATGGTGAATGGGCATCCTGTTGTTGTGACTAGCACGGTCTGAGAAGTGCAGTGCAAGTGCCCCTCGCTGGTCTGTGAAGCCTGCACTCTAGAAGCATTAGGCTGAAAAGAAGGCACAGAGCACCTCTTTCCCCACCTCACCATCATACATCGAGAAAAGGGATTCTCAGTGAGGGTACAACAGCACCCTGGGTCCTTGAGATCCATTCATGGGTGCCATGGGGTGTCACACAATGTTAACACTATTAGGACTGCAAGTGTGATTCACAAGATAAAGCCAGAGATTTCAAATCGAAATCCAGAGTTACTACTTGACCACAGTTGTGGTCTTTTTGAGTTCTTTGCAAAAGAAAAGCTGCTCTATTAGTTTTTTGTAGTCAAACAAGAGAGAAAACGAAGAGCTGGTATTTTCCAAGAGGTGCCCTGAGTCTCTCTATGGGTGCCTGAAGTCTATCCAGGGATATCTCAAGTCTAAAAAAGGTTGAGAAACACTGATGTAGAAGGAAATCGAGATAATAAATCTTCTGGTTCTTCATGGCCCCAAGATGACATGGTCCAAGAGCTGGGGATGCTATTTAGGGCCCTGCATCCATTTTGGTCTGAAGTACAAGCTGTCGATCCTTTGCTTATCTATGTAGTATCTAAGGCTGCTTGCAGATGGTTAAAAAAAAACTCCCAAAAAAGTGTTTTATTGGAAGAAGCAGCATGTTACAGATACTGTGGAGCTGGGTCGAAGTATAGATCGGGCACTTCAGTGGAACTTATTGGCACTTTTATCTAAAGCTGTTTCAATCAGCTCTAAGGTAAAAGGTGGGCCGAAAAAGCCCCACAAAGCACTCAATTTACATAGACATTGGGCGAGCCAGGTCCAACTAATGCACTGATTCTGGGCATGTGCTGGGCTCGGTGCAGGAGCATGCCAAGTTTAAATAAAGTACCAGGTTTTTTTTTTGGGGGGGGGGGGGGGGGGCATCTGCTAGCAGCTTAAGAGTAGAATTATTTTCCCTACCAACAAGTTTAATTGACACATATGCAACAACAAGGGATTGGATAAATGCCTGATCTAGGGTGTAGCGGTAAGAGCACTGTACTGGGAAGTCAGAAATGCAGGTTTAAACTTGTCTGGGCAAGGGGACCCTAGAATCTGAGGCTCCAGCTCCTTGAGCAAGTGCTTTTATTACTCAGCTTAGGGACTTAAACATGGGAGAGGCCTCCTACAGCGACATTGTTTTTCCAGGACTTATGCTAAGGTATTTGTGCATGTGGCTGTGCATATACCAGGCCAGTGCATGAACCTACTGCCCATTCTTATATATCACAGTACAAAGCCAGAGCCCCAAATGGCCAGATAGATAGCTAGAAAACTTCCATTTAATTCACAACGATAATTTGAATCCTTCCCTAAGCCATCCAATGGCATTCTGGTTTGCTTCACATAGGCCTTGTCCAGATGAGCTCAGCCGTGCAGTATGTGGCACTGCAGACACATCTGTGGTGCCACATACCTCATATTCAGATATTCTCCATGCTGCAGTGGAGCAATACAGGGGTCAAAAAAGCCCATGGGAAAAAAAAGTGGAGCAGCGCATGCATGGGCACCATGTGCTGCTCAAAAGCAGAACCAGGCCAGTTGGAGCTGCGCTGTGGTTGTCATCCAGACTCTGCTAGGCAGAATTGCCACTGCTGCAGCCCCAGGGGGGCCCCTGGGACCCTAGGTAAGGCTGATGGGGCCAGCCTAGTGCTTGCCCCAGCCTCCCCTACCTCACCTGGGGTAACTTGCCACATGCCAAAGTTTGCATGGCACAGGCATTCCCCAGGGACAAGTAGCAGCGGTGCAAGGTGCAGCACTGCTAGTTGCCCTGGGGGAACCAATGTCCACACTACATGTGGACATGGTCATAATGCCCTTATGCAGCTACAGTTCTGCTCTTTGCAACTACGTTTTCCCCTCCTGAACATGCACAGAAGTGCTTCAGTGCTGTGCCAGAGGTACACGAGTCCTTTTATATTCTGTTGTGATTCAACCCCACTGTGGATGCACAGAGCTGTGACTTTCACCCTAAAATTGTAGTAGACTCAAAACCACCTCATGTGACTGTCTGACCCTGGTTCGTCTTTCTCCTGTATTTTTTCCAGCAAGCTGATATTTGTAGCACCTACCCAGGATAGAGGAGATTTCGGGGACCTAGGTTTTAGACTTACCTCCCCCTGAGGAATTTTGTACCTTGAACACCCATGTTGCGGGACCACAAACTGTTCACAAGACTGCAGGCCAGGGAAGCCTGAGAACAATTGCCTGCTGTGGCCAGGCCGCTGGACAGCCAAGACGGAAAGTTTCCTGGGGCAGAAGGAAACCAGGCAAAAGAGGGACACTGACTCTGTGGCTCAGGATGGTGGATGCTGGCTTAGTTGGGGGGAAGTCATACATTCGTGGTTGTTGGTGCACTGAGCATTATAGTCATTGGGGAAAGCACATAATCATTACTGGGCAGACAGCAGGTTTCTTCACATGATGCTCCAACTTGAAACTTTCCCCTTGGGGTCCAGGTTGGAAAGCCTTGAAAAGCAGTCCTCATTACAGTACTTCTTCATGCAGGATAGACCTGCTGAAAGATATGACCCAGAATCTTTAATAGGAAGGAACATATGCTCATGCTTGGAGTGTGTGTTGGGTGGATGGGTAGGAGCAAACTTTCCTAGATCCTTACAGAAAAGAAAAGCTCACACAAATACAACACTCAGCCTTCTCCAGCCCCCTCTGTCATTAACCAACCAAACTTTCTGGGACACTGGGATTACTCTCCCCGCTGTCAAATCACTCCTTAAATCACATTTCTCCCATGGCACATCTCAGCACACAGCCAACTTATACAGAGGGTGGAATGGGTGTACTATGGACTAATGATGCATTTACACACCTCCTATGTAACTGTGAGGCTCCATCTCCACAGGCATCTAAGTCAGTGAAGAGCCGTGCGCCTCTACAGGACGGCAGAATTCACTCTGGGTACACAGGAGACACAGGTATACTTGTGCCTGTTGAAAGTATAGGAAAATTAGATGTTTATGCAGGCAAAAAAGGATATCTTCCTAATTCTCATCAGCTGTCTCAGCACCTTGCCAGCAGCTACACATTAGGTAGTCCCAAGGATGAAATAAAATTTAGCAAGAACTCTTTTAGTATAATGCTGTTAGCTGATTCCCTAAGTTGTGAGCAATATTTATAACCTAATTCAACACAGTACCTAAACATGGACCTAACTTGAAGCACCTGTGTAGTCCTGTAAGTGTAAATAGAACTAGCCATGTGCTTCTAAACGAGATGCATCTTTAAGCACCCTTTAAACCCATGATCCCTGATATGTCACTGAGAACATGAATCCTGTGGAAAAGCATCCTGGGTCACTTACAGTGCACTGTAAATAAATTAATCCATAATTAACAATCAATTAACCATTAATTAACTAATTAATTCTCAAATTGTAGCCATTAATCAATAGTAAGGAGCCATTTGAGTGGTCCTTTCAACACAAATTCTAGCATGCTTTGTGTAACAGGTAGCACTGTAGGCACCTTCTGTCCTCATCCACTCCTTTCTTATTGACAGATAATGCCTAAAGAAAAGGAGGCTGAGTTTAATAAACTTAATTCTGACATTTCATAACTTTTGCATGATTGGTAGTAACCTTAATAATTTTCTTTTAATTTAGTTTGTATGTGTGTATATTTATATGTAGGATTTTTTTATGTATGCATATAAAATTATATGAAATAGTACATATCACACACACACACACACTAGTAGTTATATACGTAATTGTTCATCTATTGCCCAGTAAGTATTCAGGCTTGCTAGTTCTTTCCTTAGTGCTGGAAATTTAGCTATTTAATAATACCACTTCCTATTCATAACATTTTACCTTTATTAACTGTACCACACAAGGAAAAATCACAAGTTATAAACTCAAAGGTAACACTATATGACAGGAAATATTAACTGAATTAGAACAAATTGTAAGCTTTCTTACAAATCTTTACGGTGTTTTTCAGTTCATTTCCCCTAAACTGGAGAAAATGTGGGCCAATATAAATATAAGATGAAGATAGGAAGGAAAATATGTGTTACTGTATTGCTAGGTAAGTGGACCTTTCCTGTCAAGCAAACGGACTGGTTGGTTGCAGCTGCTATTATTTTCAGACAGGAAATGCAGTTCTTTTTCTAGCAGAGTGGAAACTCATAGACCTAGTTAGAACTAAATGATATATATAATCCAGCATCCAAATTTGCCCCATATGTTCATCAAAAAATAAACTTTGAATGAAAATTGCAGTTTTTAGAAGTTCCTGGCCCATAGAACAGAGAACTCATGAATAATGAGGCAAGCTCAGGAGAGTCCGGGAGAGAACTTCCTTCTCCAGGGGTGAAGCAATGGAGGTAAGGACCTGGTAAATTTGAAGCAGTAAGCTCAGTGATTCTAAAAGCCAAGACATCCGTAAAAACCTGGTTAAATCCATAGCTCTGGGCAGAAAACAGAAGGGAACAAACCCCCTAACTACATAGTTTGTGGTTTCAAAACTATCCAGGAGACTTGGACTGTATTAAAATTAAGGGTGTCAGGCTTTCAAACCTCTTAGATAACTTTGGAAGTCTCAGCCAAATGATATTAAAGAAAGTGGAAAGTCAGCCTTCGTTTTTGTTTTTTAAATATTTTTCCAGTCTACATGTGGAAAAAAACCAGTCAATTTAAGGAAATTTCTCCCTAGATTTTTTTTAATGGTCATATTCACCTAGAGAAACTGGTTAATAGAGACAACCTGAAAATAAACCCTTGGGGCACTGACAGATGTGGGAACCCCTTCCCCCCACAAAACCACAAAAACAAAAACATGCTTTACTGGAAGAAGCAGTGTGCTACTTTGACTCAGCTTCACAGTATCTGTATAGATTGGGTGCTTCAGCGGGGCTTAATGGCACTTTTATCTAACAGCTGATTCAGTCTTGCAAGAGTCTATGGCCTAGGCTTGTAATCTTAGGACACGCCTACTGCTGCACCCATACTCTCTTTTGGGATGCCATATTTCCTAGACACTCTACACTTTCAGGAAGACTCACTCTATATCACATAGTCTTGGCCCAGTAGCCAGAGACCCAACTTCTAGGCTTCCCTCAGGCTCAGGTGGTTTGAACCAGCATCTCCTGTTTAACAGGATAGTACTCTGGTCTCTAGGGCTAAGTACAGACAGTCAACAAGCCCAAGGTTGAATCAACTCCATCTTTGCAGGCTAGTCTAAACTCCAGGGATTAAATTGAAAAACAACAGAACAGACATTCACTTTTGATTCAGAAAATGAGGCTACATACCTGCAGTGGCTCAGGCCAGAAACCAGGGGGTGCTAGAGCATGGGCTGTGTGTTTACTTCCTCTTCCTCATGCCCCCGAGGTCTCTGGGATTTGCAGTCCAGAATTACAGCAGCAGGACTCTGCAGACTTGTCCATCACTTCCTCTTCCTGCTTCCAGGTGCTTCTGGGATTTACAGTTGCAACCAGCAGTAAGTTTTTAGCAGGGCAGGGCAGCTCTGCTCTGTACTCAGGGGAAGGGAAGTTTAACCCTCCTCCCTGGCCCCAGATCCCAGCCTGGGGAGGGGGAAGGAGGGGACAGTCCTTGCCCCACCCCCAACCCTTCTCTGCTGGAGTAGACAGCCCAGCCCAGGGCTGGAAAGCATGCTTGGATGTGATTTAACTTGAACCAGGAAGGGGTTTGGGATAGAAATTTTATAAACTGGTTTGACCCAAATCAGTTAAGTCTGATACTACATTCAACCAGATTTATCTTAAACCAGTCTCAGCCATTTTGAAACAAGTTTATGTGCACTGAACTTCTGTTCTGTTACAGGTTTAAACCAGTTTCTGATTACTTAAACCGGTTTAACTTCTGTCCCTAGCCCAGGTCATGAGCCAGCCACAGCCCAAAGCTGTTTCTAATCCTCCTCTTGAAGCTGGCCCACCAGCCTTGGGAAAAAATGTGTGGGGTCACAAGAACATCAAGCCAGAGGGAGAAGGCCTTAGTGAAATGGATGGTGAGCTAGAAAGGAGGGGGGCCTGGTTTGTAGCTCTGGTATCTACTGGCTATCCTGTACCTTGCATTTAAACAGCAGTGGAATAATTTCTGCCTGACTGGAGGCGGGGACCAAGGAATGATTCATCAGATTGAGCCACCCTCTTTCTAGCT